TTGTAAACACTCTAAATTATCAACATTTAATGCTAGTTTAGGAAGGGCAAAACTAAAAAGTAGCGGGTGTTTGAGGCCACAAAAAGTCACGTGACGCCTCTGCGTGGCCAGGTGTGTTATACAACATGGATATATTTTATAATTTATATATTACTGAATAGGAATGTTTCTTTTTGTTTCTTTTTTTTAAAAAGTTTTTTTGGATAAACTACATAAAAAATAAATGAATTAACAAAAAAATGTTGAATAGGATACACAAAAATTCCTTCCAAAAAAGGTCTCCTCCATCACAAAGAAGAACTGCTCAAATAATTTCACATGTTGAACGAAAAAGAGAAACCAAAATCATACGTTTATTTCTAAATATTTCAAAGTTTTACCAAAGTCAAAAGAAAAAAACAAACTTCTTTGTAGAAGGCGCCATACATGTTTATGGATTTTCAAAATTGATATTTTTTTATAAATCGTATGTAACGGAATAATTATGTTAAAAAAACAGTTTTTTTTCAAAAGACATATATTTATTAATCTATGATTTTATGTAATTGAAAAAAAAAAAAAAAAAGAAGAAAAAACCAAAACAACGTCATTTTTCTTTTTTGTTCCCGACATTGTGTGACAAAATTATTAGAAACGCACTCGTTTTAGTAATAATTGATGAACAGTCCACTATTTGTATGCAAACGTCAAATTCCTCATTTTTGTTTTAAAATATTATTTTTTTTTAAGTTTCTTTTTATCTAACTCAATATACATGGATGGAATCGACAACATTAAATTTTATGCTAAAAACAAATATTTAAAAGCATGATGCTATTATACATTTTATAATTAACACTTATCTCTACTTGTAATTTGAAAACAGACTGCACATGCTTAAAAATTAGCAACACCCATATTCAATTTATAGACCTTCATATCGATGTAAAGCTGGTTTAATGCAGTGTTATTTAAGTCTTTCAACTTGTGAAGCAGTAAAATATAAATAAATAAAAATGCCAATAAATGCGAAAATTAAAAAGTAACGTTTGGCCTAAGATCAGGAGCGGCCAATTTTCAAAGTAATACGATATAATAATAATAATAACAATAATAATAAGTGGTCTTATATAGCGCGGTACCCCAGCCTAGGGCTGATATTGATGATCCAATTCTGTGAGCCTGTAACAAGATCAACTTCAGCAATGTGGATCCTCAATATATATCGAATAAAGCGATATGTCATTTGTTCCATTAATTGTAATCCATGAAATGCTATATAACAAATAAAATTTAGTGCCGGTAGTTTTTTTAATTAAAAAATTATAATTTATTTACACATTCCTCCCTCCCACACAGGGGGGGGGGGCACTTGAATTGCTCCGGGGACACCGGACACACTCCCCCCCCCCCCACGTCTGCCCGAAATAAACCCTGAATTTAAATTAGAGGATCAGAGCGAAACTTGACAGTTGCATCGATACTGCTCCAGAATTCTCACTATTCAACGGCTCTTCTATGGGTGAATTTGTTGAGGTCAGTGAATCGAATGTGAGGAAAATCCTCGCTGATACCCCAAGAAAGCCATGTTCGCTTGACCCTCTTCCAGCAGGGCTCTTGTATGAATGTCTGGATGAAATAGTCCCCATCATCACTTATATCATAAATCAGTCCTTAGCTACTGGTATTGTTCTATCATCTTTTAAAGAGGTGATCGTCACTCCACTATTAAAGAAATCAAATCTTGACCCAGATGTGATGGAAAATTATCGCCCCATCTCAAATCTACCATTTATTTTTAAAATCTTAGAAAAAGTCGTTCTCCGCCAACTCCTGGATCACCTCACTCAGTTTGACTTGGTTGAACCATTCCAGTCAGCATACAGGGCGCATCACTCTACTGAGACAGCCCTGTTGCGCGTCGTAAACGACCTTTTGTCGTCTTGTGATGAGGGCCAGGTATCGATTTTGTCTTTACTCGATTTATCGGCAGCTTTCGATACGCTCGACCACGGCATACTGCTCCAGTGTCTGCAACAAACGTTTGGTCTCACTGATACCGTCCTGTGTTGGTTCCGATCGTATCTGACTCATCGGGTCCTGTCAGTTATTTCAAACGGCTTGACCTCGAAGAAATCTAATATCGCATTCGGAGTACCCCAGGGCTCGGTCCCAGGCCCGGTGCTTTTCACGATGTACATTCAGCCCCTGGGTGCAGAGATCAGACAGTTTGACATGTTGTATCACATGTTCGCGGACGATACACAACTTCATCAATCTGTGATCCCTTCTCAATTCCCTCAGCTGCTCAGTATGACACAGAAGACAATGGAGTCGGTAAAGCACTGGATGACCATAAACAAGCTCACATTAAATGATGATAAGACTGAGCTGCGCCCCATCGCGACCGCTCAGAAGCAAAAATCTGCAAATAACACGACATCCATTACTCTCTCAGGTGTGCGTATTGAGTTAGCTCAAACAGTGCGGTACCTGTGTGTCTACATAGATAGAAGACTAACTTTTGAAAGTCATATTAACATGCTATGCAAGGCGATTTTTCTGGAGCTGCGCAGGATTAGTCACATCAGGACCTTCCTAACAATTGATGCAACAAAGAGGCTGATGTCTGCATTTGTGCTATCACGCATGGACTATTGCAATGCTCTCATGGTGGGTCTTCCATCTACGCTCCTGGATAAAATTCAAAGAGCACAGAATAATGCGGCTCGCATTGTTCTCCGCAAACGCAAGTTCTCCCATGCCAAAACACTTCTGAGAGAGTTGCATTGGCTGCCGGTGCGTGCTCGCATAGAGTACAAAATCGCAACTTTGTGCTACCGCTGCTTACATGACCTGGCGCCGTCCTATCTGAAAGAGCTGCTGACGCCTTATGTACCCACTAGAGAGCTCCGATCATCCGATAGTGGCAAACTCTCGACACCACGTGTTTACCTTGAGACTTACGGAAAGCGCACTTTCGCATTTGCTGGTCCAACAATTTGGAACGCCCTTCCTGTCGATCTCAGAAACAACCAGACACTGGAGTCCTTTAAAACCGATTTAAAGACACATCTATTTCGCAAACACCTTCTGGGATGATTGTCTACCTTATTTCCAGTTAATGCATAATGGCTGTGTTGCTTAGGGTTGAAATGGCTAGAAAGACTTTGACATTGTATGCTTGTAATTAGTTTTTGTAGTGTTGCGTTTGTTTTATATGTGGTAAATTATAGATTTGTTTTTTGTTGACTTTGTACCGCGATTCGAGCCTTTGGGGATGAAGCGTATTTTTGAAATGAACTTTATTAGTATTATTATTATTATTATTATTAATATAAATTACAAATATATTTAAAGTAACAACTAAGGAATTATTTTAAGTATTTCAACGGAATGTAAATGTTATGAAAAAAAATATTAATCAAAATATTATGATCTAAGAATTGCATTTTAATCAAATTTATCGGGAAAACCCAAACATCTGTTATTCTTAGTGCGTATTTTAGTGCGTTGTTAATATTGCGAAATAAAAAAAAAATTAATTTGATCTAAATAATTACGCAAATGACGTCATAGCGTGATTGATTATTTTAGCCACAGCTCTAAGTTTTTTTTTAAATTTTTATTTCATAACCGTGCGGGACAAAACTGATAATGTATTTTCCCCTTCTTAAAAGTAAAATTAATACATATAATAGATTTCTTTTTAAATTGCTAAACTTTTCTAAAATTAAATACAAACTTAGCTTTGTATTTTTAACATTTAATAAGTTTTTACTTATATTCTTTCAAAAAATATACTTTTATGAAATTTATATAGTTGTTGAAAACGTATTCTTTAAATATACTTTTAATACGCAAATGCCGTTTAATGCACTCAGTTCAGCGAAACTATATATCCAAATAGCATTGACTAATGCACTTATCATTCATACAAATAAGAACAAAGCATGGGAAATGCAAAACAATGTTTGTGCGTATGCAAGGGTTAGAGGGTTAACATCCCGTCGATGATTGGATTCATTTCTTTAAAACTCTGTTTTGAAAGGATGGGGCGGGGGGGGGGGGGGGGGGGGTAAATTCGTTAGTTTCATTTGCCCAAGGCAGCACACGATACGCCTCAAAACGAATTTGACAAATAATTAACCTTCTTAGGTACATATATAAGTGGGTTAGGAAGTAGAGTGTGTACAATTTTACATGGATGGCAAGTTCTTTAAATCCAATGATGTTACAGTTGTGAAGACTAGATACGATATTCTCATTTCACCAATTAATAAAATCAATGACGTTAAAAAAACGTAAGTACATTTACACATGCATATCAAAACCCATTCATTTGACACAAGCAAAAATTTAATTTTCAAAATAGCAATGGGTTAAGACTTAGATGATATATATATATATATATATATATATATATATATATATATATATATATATATATGGATGGATGGATGGATGGATGGACGGACGGACGGACGAACGGATGGATGGAAGGATGGATAGGTATTTTCTATTTAAAAATTACTTTTAAAACGCAATTAAAACACAAACACTTTTTTCTTTGAGTGGTATTGCAATGCATGCCCTGTTCTCGCTAGTAATTCATAATAGGTCATTGACCGTGTTGTGTAGAAAAGTTGAGAGCATATATCGCATGGGTTTGCCAAAAAAAAAGAACACTCCTTTTTAGTATTATACTCATTTTGATTGGGGGGGGGGGGGCCCGCACTTGCCCCCCCCCCCTTTCC